AAATAACGATGCTTTTTAAAAGGTTGCAATCATTGAAGGCTGGGAACAAATAAGCACTAAAATTTTATTCCCCTGCCCGAAACATCAGGGCAACAAATTGATAAAATTATTTTTTGCTATTTATAACTAAACTTATTTTCATCGATAATTTTTAAGTATTGTTTTACAATCACTAAGCGTTTAAAATTTATGATCATATATAATTTGTAAACCCCACAAATTAAAGGCGGTTTAAACATTATATGTTCATAATTTTTAAATGCTGAGAGATAATACTTTCTCTCAGATCTCAGATCTCAGAGAGATAATACTATCTCTGAGAGATAATTCTCTCAGCATCTCAAACAACTAAAAATGCTGGATCCTTCACTGATCTGTGGTACTCAAGCAAGCACAAACGTTTAAGTTAAATGCTCTTCTGTGGTGATCTCTGATGCAATTATAAGGTCTTCTTGAAGCACCTAAAATAACCACAGAAAAAATGTGTATATATATTTTTGAACTACATTGATTCATTTTGATCTTGTTTAGTTTACAACAAAAGATTGAAAGTCTTTCGCCCAATCTTTTAAGAAAATACTTCTGTCAAGAAAAAGAAATGTAATACAAAAATTTTTCATATAAATATGACCTCTACGCCACTAATTAGCCACTCTGCATAATAATAGGTTGCCGAAAAAAACTATCGGATAGACTAATGCATAACTTTGTCTTAAAGGGTTTCAAAAAAGCATTTTATATAATAATATGAGTTTGATAAGGGCCAGCAATTTTGTGGTAGTGTCTTTGACAGCAAAGACACTACCACAGAAATAGCTGGTTATGCGACTGAGTTCTTTGATGGGCAAGTGCAAAGTTTAGTGGGAGCAGCTGATAAAACCCAAGAAAAAAATACCACCACTGTAATTCAGTTTTATCAAAATCTTTTTCAGAAGATGAGACTAAGCTCTATGTTAGTATATTTGTTGAACCACTAGTCAAGAAGATCATAGAAAATGATGACATGAAAGAGTAAAGGTATATATGTTAATCAAAATTATAGGTAAATCTCAGCAAAATATATTAGATGTCATTATCAAGGGCAGTATACAAAATATATTATGGAGAAACACATTTGGTGGCTACTTCATGAAACTTATTATCATTTTCTTAAGATGAGTTTCTAAAACCTCCAGAGGGGTTTGAAAACTCCCAAATCTAGAAAATAAATATATTTCTAAAGCTTATTTCAAATGATTGTTTACTGTCTTTGTCTATTTAAATTGCAATTGTTGTTTATTATTAGATTAAATAAATAAAAAACATGAAACTTTTTTTATACTGTTTCATTAAAAACAAATTTACAGGTATTTCATAAAAGTTTAGGCTCAATAAAGTCATTTTTTCACAGTCTTTAGACGTGAGAAATTGAAACGAATCGAAGTCTAAATACTGTGATACAGCAGACCATAACAAATTCAATATCAGCCTAAGACAATCAATCAAAATGTTGTAATAATAATAATAGTAATAATGATAATAATAATAATAATAATAATAACAACGATGATAAGCTGCTGCAAGAAAATATCAACGTAAGGACTTAGCTAAATAGCCAAATAAAAACAGATATTTTACTTGATCTCAGCAATTAGACTAAGAAGCAAGTCTTTATCTATTTAATATGCAATTGTTGTTTATTATCAGACAAAATAAATAGAAAAAAAAAACTTTTTTTGTACCGTCTTAAATACAAATTTTATTTTGTTCCATCATAAAATCAAAGTTTAGGCTCAATGAAGTTATTTTTTCACAGTCTTTACACGTGAGCAATTAAAATGAATCCGAGACTAAATATTATGTTACAACAGGCTATAAACAATCAAAATGATGTGAGAAGCCAAACTATAGACTTTATTTGATCTTAGCCATTAGACTAAGAAGCACATCAAGTTACGTCACTTGTTTAATCTGACTAGCGAGCCATTTGAAGTACCACAAAGCTTGGTTCTCTACTTCACAACTCTATATACTTCAAATCAATCATTTGTTATATCACATTGCCAACCATGTTAAGCTCTACATAGATGATAACAAGATCATTAGCTGCATTAAGTTTGCAGACGGTGCACTCAGCTTATCTACCCTAAATAAGCATTTAGCGAGAAGCAATATCAGCAGCAAAAAACTATAAGATTTATGAAAAACCAGTTACTGAAACATTTGCTTAAAACATAAACTTTATTGATTTTTAAAGACACATTTGTTATTTAAAGTCAACATTATTAATAAAACTAATTAGAAATTTTATAGAAAATTATGTTCAAAGATTTTAATTTACAATAAAAAATGCTATTATATAAATAACAACAATATATAAAATACACTTTTATAATATAAATTAAATGTGTTTAATTTAAACAATCTTTAGAAACAACAACTTAATTAATTTAAAACTGTTTCACATTATGATGAAAAGCAACGTTTTATTCATGAAATATAAAAACGCTTCATTCATACTTTTCTTTATACTCCTTACTAAGAAAATATTTTAAAGAAATAATAAACGCAGTTAAAACCTTGTGCCAAACAACTTGGTATTTTTAAATTATGTTTCATTATCAAAAAAAAAATTATTTCAAACAACTATAAATTATGAAAAGCAGAGAAAAATACCAAAAAAGTTGGCCTTAAAGTTAAAAAAACTATGTAATGTAATGTATTTTACTTAACCCAACCAGTAAAGGTTGGGTGAAGTAAAATTGACACTTTTAGTTTCTTAAGATTAGGACACTAAAAAATTATGCAGAAAAACAATTATTTATGTACTTTGGTTAAAATGTTTAAAAAATATTATTTTTATTATTATTGTTTAAAATGACAACAAAACTGCAATAAGTGCATAATAAAATTTTGCATGTTTGAGTAAAAATTCCTAATCTGTTTCTCAAATCGATTATAAAAACTGTTGGATGTTTTAAAAGCACTGTAAACTTTAAATAAGTATTTGACACAAAATAAAATAAATAGAAGCGTGGAAGCTGCAACAATTTGAACGTTAACAAATAACGGAAGATGAAACATTTCTCAGCGAGATTTGGCTCTAAACTGCAAAACTAGCAGACAAATGGTCCAGACTATCAAGAAAAAGCATAAAATCAAGTCATCAAGATGGATAAAGCCCCAGATCATATTGCTAAAGAAAATTTAGAGTAAAAGGTCATGCAGAAAAACTTTACAAATTATTGTGTAGAAAAAAATATATATTCATAAATAATAAAACTTATGTAAAATTAAATTTTAAAAGGATTCCAGGACACCATTTTGATATGGGAGTTTCCAGAAAAAAGGCTAAGACTAAATTTAATTATTTACTTCGTAAAACTAAAAATATTTCCTTAAAAAATTTACGGAAGCCAGATTTCAATGTGGATTGAAAACACAAAGTTTTGTCACTAATTCCACGATAAAAAATGAAATTTATTAAAATGTGCTTTAAAAAGCTAATATTGTCAATGTGGAACACCCACGACGGTAATGCAATTTTTTGCCTGACTTTTTGTTTTTCACTCCAAGTCTTTGTTAAACTTCTACAATGCAAATAATATCAATTTTTATACCTAAAACGCACAATCCTACAAAATGTCCTAAACTTTGTCCGATTAAGCAACATTAGGCAATTATTAAAGCCGAGTTACATAAGAAGTTTAGGCAAGCAAAAAAAGTACTGGTCACAATCTATGGATCTCACCTAGTGCAAAATCCTATGACTAACATTAAAAGAAAAATTCAAAAATTTTATTGTACCAAAGAAATGTTTGTTTTCCTTATTTATTTTTCTAAACTAAATAAGCGTTCAATAAAAATATCAACTTTGTAGATCATTGCAATCTTTTTTAATTCAAGATATAAAAAGTCTCAGTTTTGCTTAACCCAATATTGACAATGTAAAACATTTAGGTTAATGAAAAAAAGCAAATGGAATGGCATTAGGAACAATCAGCAATCTGATTAAAAAAGTACAAAACATTTGAATTTGCATAGACAAGACAGCGACACTAACCATACATCAAACAAAGTAAAAGTGTTTTATATCCAGAGGCAGGCTGAGTTACTTTAATAGCCGGCTGAGAACCTAGATTTTATTACAATTTAACGCCAATGGGCATTCTGAATCAAAAAAGTGGCAATTTCTAAAACGAAAGGAAGAGGTAATGATCATGCTTCTAGAATCGTGGGCTCAAATCAATCTAGATACAACAAAGAAATAAGTTGAATCAATGTAAAATCGACTTGCAGAAGTTTAAAAGTTAATGATGGTCTAACTATTATAAAAAGTCTAACTATATTAAAAAGTCTAACTATGTTAAAAAGGTCTAACTATATTAAAAAGGTCTAACTATATTAAAAAGTCAAAAAATTCAATTGCTTGGAAAAATGTTTAATACTTAAAATTTTGGATATTTATTTAAAGTTAAAAAAATGCATAGTTTGAATGCATCATTAAGTTTTAAGCACATTAAGTTAATTGTTTTAATTTTTAAGTTATTGAATTCTTGATTAAATTTTTATTTATAATAATCAAAAATTTTTTATATTAACTTATTTTCTTTTGAAATTGCTTGCCAAAATTTACTATTTTTTAAATAAAAATTTCATTTAGATAATTATCTCTCGTACTGTGTAGAATGTGTAATGACACAGATGAATTTACTTGTAATCAAAACTCATATGTATATTTATAATATTTTGGTATGCTACAGAGCATAAATAAAGAATATTTCTTATTTTTTAATAAATGTTATTTATTTCAAATTTCTCTAAAAGTTTTGCCAAATATTGTTCAACATACTAATTACAAAAGTATAGGGTCTATTATTCAGAGAAGTAAAGAAAAAACAGCTTTAAACAAAAAATTAGAATTTACAAACTTTTGATTTTAATTAACTTACACTTTTGATAAATAGATAAACTTTATCTAAAATGACTTATAATAATGCAACAAAGTATTAAGGACTTACCAAAAATGAAATACAAAAATAAAGATTCTTCGCAAGTTTTTTTTAAAGGATTCAGGTTAACAAGAAACCTTAATGAACTATTTTGATTTTTGTTGGTTAAACCACAAATCATTGACAAACAACTTTTTAGCTTTTCATCGGCTATAATCTCTTCACTACTTAAACAATTATATGCATATACAGATGCACAAAACTCCATTATTGTCAAATGTGCAAATTGATAAAAAAAACCTAGATTTGTTTCAATCCTTTCTATAAATCCAAAAAACTTTTCTTCATTTATATCGAAGTCAGTAATAAAAGTTTGAATATCTTCTTTGGAAAAAATTACTTTATTTTCAACAAACAATAGATATGCAATTTTACAAATGTTCAAAATATATTTTTTATTAGAGTTGTTTTCCACAAACTGATAAATCAATTCATTGTTTTTGATGATGTGATTTTGCAAAAAGTATAAAAAAATATTTGCATACAAATCTGTCATTGTTAAAAAAGAATTTTTGCATAAACTTTTTGAATTACTAATAATCTTACACATGGAAGATAAATAAAATGGAACAGATGACATGGACTTAGCAATTGCAGATTCTTTTAAAGTTACTTTCACAACATCTTTTTTTTCCTTTAAAACATTATTTTCTATATAATTATTTATTCCGCTTTCATTAAATCCCATAATTTGAATGTTAATCTTATCACTATGCTCTGTAGGTATACTTTGGTACTTATCAATTGCATAAACTCTACCAGCAACTACACATTTATACTTTTGAATTTCTGATAAAACATTAACGATTGGATAGTTATGACTTGAAATACAATTTATTAATTCATTTAAATATTTGAACTCATCTAATCCGTCAATTACAAAAAGTGCAGGATGACTACTAACATCAAAACCATTTATAATATCTTTGTAGAAAAAGTTGAGTAAATCGTTGATATTACCAATATTTTGACATAGATTAAGCCTCCTGCATTCCAAATAAAAAACAAGTTTAACATTTTCCCAAATTAGGCCATTTGACCAATCAAGCAAACATTTTCTAAGTAACCATGTTTTCCCAATACCAGCTATTCCAGATATTAAAGTTACAGATTTTTCTTTCATAAATATTTCACTATATGGGATTGGTGTATAATGCAATTGCTTTTTGAGAAATTCCTCTCTTTCAATACCAAAAACAGCATCTCTCTGAATAATAGCTGCATCAACGATACATAGGTCAACAAATTTATGCATTAAATCAACATTTGCAGGTGATTTTAATGGTGGTTGAATTTCATCGATTTTGCCATATTTTGTCAGATAAAAACTTTTGAGTGCTGTGCATGTCTGTGATATATCTAAATACAATAACTCAATGTCATCATCATCATTATCATCATCATCATCATCATCATCATCATCATCATCATCATCATCATCATCATCATCATCATCATCATCATCATCATTACCATCATCATCATCATCATCATCATCATGAGAATCATCATCATGAGAATCATCATCATATTATCATCATCAAATATAAAAGACTACAGGTCATTGTTAAATATGATTTTTAATATTTTAAATAACAAGTAAAAAGGTTTTAAAAGATTTTGTACATATTATTTAATTAAAAGTATATGCACCAGATTAATCTAGGCAGACTTGATTAATGAAAAAAAATTTGTCTTAAAACTGGATATAAAAATACAAATGCCAAGTTTTTTTTTCTAATTTTTAGAACTAAAACAATTAATGTCAAGCTAACCCAGAACACTTTTAGGAGAAGAGGAATGTTAGTACTCTTACAAAAGGCCTTTATATTTTCTTATATTAAATTCTTTACCAGATAACATAGTATGAAAAAGTAGACAGCAAAAGACCATACTACTAAGCTGACGTTTTCAGCTAAGCGGTATGGTCTTTTGTTGTCTACTAATGCTATTTCCTCTAGTCAGAAAATTAATGTGAAAAAATTAAATCAGTTTTCTGATAAAACTACAAAGTCCTACTTAATTTTGTTAGTTTGCTAATTATTTACAGAAAATTCATCTTCCATACTATGAAGAGCTGGTTACTAAGGGGTGTATTAGGCTTTGTTGATGAATAAACTCTAGCAAGCACTACTATCATGCATGATATCTACAAAGTAGTGCATGGAGTACTTATACAGACCTTAAATTAAATCTAGTTATTTGACTTTTTGTTTGCTTCTGACATATTAAATGATTTGACTTTCTAGTTAAAAATAGTACTTAAAATCTAAAAACTTTTGTCGCATGGTATTCAATATTTTTATTTATAACAATTATAATAACCATACCTTCTCCTTTTATTATTTTAATAGCTATGTTATAAAAAAAAAAAAAATTGATATATAGTATTATTACCATTTAATTAAATATTTAATAAATATATAATTCATTATATTTAATGGATTAATAAATATTTAATGACAATTTGTACTATTTTTACATAAATTTTGTTTTTATTGAATATTTTTCGTAAATATATTTTTTCAGTATATTATTTTGTTATTTTGTATAAATTTACTGTAAACGAAGTATAACTTGTTTGTATATAACAATGCAAGTAATGTTACAAAGGAAAAACAGTCAACGTATCATTTTGGTTACTATATCAATAAAAGGTTCTAATATGCCAACTTAGAGAACAAAAACGTCTCAATTTGCCAACTAATGGTGTAAATAGTTATTAAATGAGGAATGTGAAATCACATCCCACACTTTGCGCAGACCTTGTGTATATGTATAAATAATATACTTATTATTTTTTTTTTTACTTTTATTATTTACTTTAACGCCCATCACATAAAATGACTTGGTTCTAGTGTCAGTGACTCTGCTGACATTAAGACCCTCAACTTTTGCATTTCTCAATATTTAACTCAATTAGTCAACTTTCCAACTCGCTTTGCAGACAACCCGAATCATTTACCTTCTCTACTTGACCTATGTCTTGTTTCTGATTGTAGTCAGTGCTCAGTTTCTCCACATTCATCCTTAGGCGCTTCTGATCACGGGTTGATCTCTCTAAAACTATCATCTTATTCTTCTTCATCATCAGTATCCCCCTATCATCATATCTCTTAAAACTACCTTGAAGCTGACTAAGACTCTTTTCGTGATTTTCTTCATGATGGCCTTTGGGTAGAAATCTTTCATCTCCCTGCTGACACATGTGCTTCTTACATAACTTTGTGGATTCAAGCTGGCATGGAATCTTTTATTCCCTCTCAACAATTCGAGATCAAACCTCACTCTTTTCCATGGTTTTCCTCTATATTTATCAGCTAAACAATTCTTCAGATAACAGACGTCTGTTTACTATTGCTAAAAACCATTGTAAAAAGGTTTTGTCTAACGCCAAAGCTCGTTATTCTCAGGTCATAAAAAATCTCGTATTTCATCACAAAAATTAGGCTCTCGTGACTTCTGGAAAATCTTTAACGTTTTCAATAATAAGGGCAAATCTGTTATTCCACCTCTCTTGCATGGCTCAGACTTTGTTACCTCACCTAGAGACAAAGCTGAACTGTTTGCCAAGAACTTTTTATTAATATCATCTCTTGATTCCACTAGTTGCGTTCTACCTGATATAGCCGTCAAACAGGTTGATCCATTGCTTGACATTCGTATCACTCCAGCTTTTGTTTCAAAAGTGATTTACTGCTTAGACTCTTCTACAGCATGTGGTTCAGATAACATACCTATTATATTCTTGCAGAAGTGTTCTCTGGAGCAGTCATCCATACTTTCAAAACTATTTAACAAGTGCTTATTATGAGTCTTGTTTTCCAGCATGCTGGAAAGTAGCATATGTTAACCATATATTCAAAATTTCCGGAGAGCGATCTGATTTGTCTAACTACTGTCCCATAAGTCTTCTTCCTATCATAAGCAAGGTTTTTGAATCTTTAACTAACAAACACTTAATCTCGAATCTCATAACCTACTTTCTGATCATCAGTATGGATTTCGATCTTCCCGTTCTACGGCTGATTTGCTATCAGTAATAACCGATAGGTTTTATCGCGTATTAGATAAAGGTGGAGAGGTTAAGGCCATTGCTCTTGACATTTCTAAAGCGTTTGATAAAGTTTGGCATGCTGGTCTCCTCCATAAGCTTTCTTCTTATGGTGTATCTGGAAACATCTTTAAGATTATTGAATCCTTCTTTTTCAATCATAGTATAAAAGTTGTTCTCGATGGACAGCACTCTTTTTCATACTCTGTAACTTCAGGCGTTGCTCAAGGTTTAATCCTTGGCCCTATACTCTTTTTAATTTATATTAAAAATTTTTCAGATATTCCCACATTTAAGGATGAATTGCTCGCTGATGACACTACCATTTATTCTTGTCATGATAGGAAGCCAACACTCTCTGATTGCTTGGAGGGGGCAAGGATCTCACTTCTGCTACAGAATAGGGCTCATAGTGGCTGGTGAACTTTAATTCAGACAAAACTCAATTTTTTAAGCCAATCGTTATGACAATAATTTAGATCTTTCTATATTTATGAACGGTAATGTATTCGATGAGTCATCTACCCTTCATCTTCTAGGATTAACTCTTACTTCTGATCTTTCTTCGAAACCGTATATCAAATCCATTTCAAAAATTGCATCTGCTAAGGTTGCATCTCTTTATCAAGCTCAACACTTGCTTACTCCAGATTCTCTTCTTTAACTCTATAAATATCAAATCCGTCTTTGTATGAAACACTGTTGCTATATCTGGGGCGGATCTTATAATGATGCCCAAGGTGTGAAAATGTAAACTTGTAAACATAGTTGGTAAACTTGTAAACATAATAAACCTGCTCTTGCAGCCAACATCCACATCGTCGTAATGTTGTTTCTCTTTCTCTTTTCTACAAATACTATAAATGGCACTGCTATTAAGAGCTAGCATCTCTTGTGCCATCTATTAAAATTCATTCTCGTTTTACTCGTCATTCTAAAGTCTTATCATTTTTTGTTTCTAATTGCTCCAAAAACTCTTATTCGTCTAGTTTTTTTCCTCGAATATCAGTTCTTTGGAGTTCGCTTCCTTCATCTTGCTTTCCCTATTCATATAACTTGCAATCTTTTAAGTCGTCTGTCAATCGTTATCTTGCTCTACAAACTTTATTTTCTCTTTCAGTAACTTCTAACTCTTATTTTGCTTGCATGTTGAAAACGAAGATGATAACAAAAAAAAAAAAAAAAAAAATACTTGGTAATTTTTCCACAGTTTAATTTAATTCACTTCATTTTTTTGGTCATATTTTTGTATATATAGAATATGTATAAAGATAATTTCATAAAGTTCAACTTTGTGAAAATTTTGAACAGGTTGATTTAATTATATTTTTAAAGTTTCAATCTATCTTAAAAGTTTTATAATATAATAAAAAATGTCATTTTAAGAAAAACAAAATCTGATTTAGCAACAGCCACAATTTTATTGGCAGGTATGAGGCTTCAACCAAACACTAATATATAAAAGGTGAACAAGAACAAATATAGCGTTACAACTATTTATTTTAGTTAGTTACAGATGTAAATCCAAAAACAATTCTTTTAAATATCTTTACTCCTAACAAGGCTGCAGGCAACCAATAATAGAGTTGGAAGTTACTGAAAGAGAAAAGATGAAGTTTATTAAGCAAGATAACGACTAACAGATGACTTGAAATACTTCAAATTATATGGAAAAATTTCAAATTATATCAGGAACACAAGATGAAAGGAGCAATTTCCAAAGAGCTTAATTAACTGAAATTCGGAACTTACTAGCAATAGCAAGTTTTTGCTTGTGTTTGTATATTTTAGTCAACTTGATTTTTTTTTTTTCAATTTTTTAAAATTATTATTATTAAATTGTTTATAGTTATATTAAGCATGATCTGTGTGATGCACTCACAGAGAGTATACCACCATGAACGTCGAACTTTTGGCATAACAAATAACCATGTGTTAACACTAGTAGAGTCACCACCAATCGCTGTTAAGCTTTTATTGGCACCATTACTTTTCAAAAATTTGTATATATTCTGAGCATGTACTTCAGAGTGTTTCATATGTTTTTGAACTTTTTCAGGTGTGAAATGGAAAAGTTACCTACCACCTAGCTTTTGATATACTGTATTATGTTCATTTTTAATTGTTGCAGGATAACATTTAGACAAACCTTTGACTACTAATTGAACTTTTGTATTATCAATTCTGCCATCAAAAAAACACAAACAATAATGGTAGACCTGCCTTGAGTATCAAACTTTCTAGAAAGAGACTGCCTATTTTTTTCTTGAGCTTTCTTGACTTTGCGCTGGTTAATAACCAACTTGGTATCATCTTTTTTAACTTTTCCTGCGTCATCTAAACTGCCCTTGCTGTTGCAGCTGTTTTCCGTAAGCCTGTACCATACCGTATGCTTGCTAACGCTATGTTAGAAATATTTTCATAATTCCTTTGTCCTCGCAAACGTTCCTAAACTTCATTCTGTCAACACATTAGATTGAGTTTAGTATTGCTGTTTGTTGTGAAACATTTATTACTAAATAATTCATCTGTTTCACTAAATTCAAATTCAAACTTTCCTTCCTGGCTTCTAATTGTTTGTTGCAGTTCTTCTGACGCTTTTTGCTTTAGCTATGGATAATTTAATTAAATTTTCATTAATTGATGTTTTCTAAAATATTGTAAGTACAAATGTTTGATGAATATATTTTTTATTTGTCATTTCCTAATACAAATAAAATATAAATATTCGTATGTAAAAATTTATTTTTGAATTTAATTAAATTTTGTTACTTTTAAGTTGAAACAAGCAGATATATTTGTAATGTAACTAAAATTAATTTAACTTTAAAGTTTAATTAATTTTTCTTTATTAACTAATTACTAAATAAAAACATAACTAGTTAAAAAAATTTTTACTTTTTCCTTCAATCTGCTTTTTCCAATTTTTTGTAGCTTTTTGTTTTCTTTCAAGTCAGCTAATCCAATTTGATGTGAACCGGTAGTCCCTATATTAGCTCCTTGCCCAAGAGTAAAAACTAACTCTTTCGTAGGAAATTTTTTCTTCTTTTCGCACGTACAGTTTTTATGGGCTTCATCTTTACATTCTGAAAAACAGTTTTTCTCTTGACAAGTAATAATTTGGCAATTAAAATTCAGTATACTAAACAATTTTTCAAGTTTTGCCAAAAATCTATAATTATTCTTTAAGCTTGTTTTTCCCCTAGCGACCAGGTTGGCTGCATTCCATTCATTCACCAATGTTGCAGTAATATAATGTTCAAGATGTGTTACAGGATATACAAATAAAGCATTGGGGTGGATCCATTTACCAAACAACTTTGAGTAAACATCGTTCATTAGTGATTTTATCTGATAATTTCTTTTGTTTCTATTGTTTTATTCTTGCAAAAACAGACCATATCTAAAAGATTTTTTAGCGTTGGTAATTCCCATACATGAATATCTGTTTTAGAACCTATATATTCCAAAAGCTTTGATCCGCTTCTTTTTGATATTAACTATGCAATGATTAAATAGCAAAGCTCATAACTTGCAAACTTTTGCGTAAATTTTTTAATGTTAAAAATTTTTTAAAATATTTTTTAACATTTAACACACAAATTATATGTTCAAGAGTTCACAAGTTGGCAACTTTATATAGTTTTGATATCAAATAGAATTCAACTTATAAACTTAACTTCAATAATAAATAACCTAAATAAATTAATTGCAGTATAAAACTAAGTCTATAAAATGATAGAGACTAATAATGTCTACAGTGTGATGATGTGGTTTATTAATTCAGTATAGTAGTTTGTTATAATCTCATTATATTTTTTTCTTTTAAAAACTGAGAGAATGAAAACACACTCACTTCTTGCTAGAGTTTCTGAATACTGTTTAAAAGCTGATTTTCATAAAAGATTTTTTGCTGTTTTATTATTACTACTATTTTATTCATTTAATTATTGCATTACTAAAAATTAAAAACTTGTTTTTTTTTCATGCATTCATTGTAACAATTAAATTTTATGTTTCAGGTGTTTTTATTTTTGTTTTTAAATTTTGTGTTTAAGCTGCATAAAGTTTTATTTAAATATAAGTTTAAAAAAATTGATAAATGAAAAATTTTAATTAGAAAAGGTGAATGAAAATTTTTAAATGTTTTTAAATATTAATAACAAT